AACATTTAATTAAAACATACTTTTGAACCGATTTATCATTATTGTTGTTAAACAACATATGTATGTCCCGCACGTGTATATTCAACAGCTGCTGATTGGCGAACACGTGTCCGCACAGGTGGCAACCGAAGCCGTAATCACGGCGCGAATGGCCGGCTTTCTTATGGTCGGCCAGATTGGACGGCAAGAAAAATGTTTGTCCGCATTCGTCGCATGTGTTTAACTGAGACGATGGCAAACCCAATGCCGGAGAACCAGTGCTGGTGTTGGAGAGGACTGGCAACGGATCGGTAGGCGTTTGTGCGGTCAAAACCGGCACATTGTTTAGGATAGTGTAGGCAATCTTCTCGGCCACCGGTATCTCTTTGTCGGTGTAAATGGGCGTCGAGTCCCTGTATTAATGATACAATATTTAACATAGATTTTAAAAATACATTTAACACGGTTAAAGTTTGAATATAAATTGCATTTAGATATGCACCAGTCACCAATAAACAATCAATGTTAAAATACTCCAAAATAAAACAATTTAACAATTAAACATTTTAAAACATAAACACACAACAAATTAAGCAATAAGTTTGAAAACACAATTTAAGAGTAAAAACACTGATTTTTAAACACCGTTTCAAACATACCTCACAATTGATGGCCGCACTAGTGTTGACCAAAATTATTACCAATTTTTAAAAAAACTACCGATTAATCAATTAAATTAAGTTATAATTTAAAAACAATATTAAGACAATGATATGCGGAAGAAAAAAAATGATAAAAATTACAAAATCTCAAGTTTTAAATACCGAGTTTAAATTAAATATATAATTAAATTGTAATCATGGTTAAATATCAATAAATTGATCACAAATCAGTCATACATCACATACTTATTGGGTTTGTTAAACTTGAGGGCGGCGTTCGCCGCTGGGCTGCGGGTCTTTTCCCGCTCCGCCAATGGACGCCTATCGGGCGTTACAGAGTTTCCCAATGGTTTGTGGGCCAGAACTGTATGGTCATAGAGTTGTGTCCGATTGGCATACTTTGTATCGCAAACAATGCACCGATGAATCTCTACGGCGGACCTATTATTGGGAACCAAAACAGCTATTGAATTGTGCGATAAGTATATGGAATGGCATACCTATGCGAAGACGTAGAGGGCGAACGCCTGGAGTCGGGCCGATGCACACACCGTCGCCGGTGATAGCGTAACCCTTCAGCCGTGTCGTACGCCTGTTTGCAGCGCTTGTAATCGCATCGATAGGGAAGATGGGCTCTGAGCCGGTGTTCATCGCGGAGTCGTTGTGTGTTAAACCGTCGTTCGCATTGTCCGTATCGGCACCGGAAGGGTCGGTCCCGCGAACTGTGTTTGTCCCGTATATGTGCCGCCAATTGAGACTTCTTGGCGTAGCGGCGGTCGCACTGCTCGCGATCGCAACGGTAGAGGTAGGCCTGGGGTAAGTCGTGTGAGGACTTCCGCCGCTGTTTGAGCCGACGGTCGCCGCCGCAACTCTGACCTGATTTGTCGCCGGCGATTGTGTCGAACGCTGGAATCGTTTTGCTGGTGTCTAAGTGCGCGATGTTTAAGACAAGAGAAGTCTTCTCAGTGACCACTCCTAACAGTGTATCCCATAATTGTCTACTATTCTCAGCGTTGGCCGGTGTGGGAGCAGGTATGTTATCCAAACCTAAGCCATTAGCGCTTACGCCACTGTTTTGTGTTAAAAATAATGATTAGTTTTTTAAAAACATTAACGAGTAAAACGAGTACCCATTGGATGCGATCACAGAGTTATCGCTGGAAAGACCGGACTGTTGTTGAGAGAAAGTGGAATTCTTGGAAACGCCGGGCATTTCTTGAGCCGATGACAACTGATCGGGCTTTTGATGGACAGTATTCTTATGCTTCTGCAGTCTATCTTCGGTAGCAAACATTGCGAAACAGTCCTTATAATCGCATTCGTATAGAGATGAGGGGTTGAGAACCGGTTGGTCTCTAACAAGAGGTGGGTTTATGTCAACTTCTTTGACAGTATTTGTGTCACTATTTCTATGAAAAAAATTTATAAATTATTTTATATTTTAATTAATAAATACAAAACACAAAATACTTATGATTAGTGACGGTGTTTGACAAGACGGCACTCGTAGGTGTTGTGCCATCGCTTGACTGATCCCAATCAACGTTTGCTGCGCTGTTGGCCGCAATCAATTGCGGCGCCGCTTTGTCGGCGACAACTGGTTCAACACTAGTCGTGCCTCTGATTTGAGTGTTTAAAGTGACGCCCAATGACTCGTCAGACACTGTCTGTTGAATCGGATCCGTTACCAGTGGCTTAACGTTGGCCAGTGTTTGGTCGTTAGGCGCAACATCGAGGCCATGGGTGTCGTCGGGGCCGCCAAACAAATCGTAAACATAGGCTACATATGAGTCAAATCGGTTGAAATCCTCTTCAGTCCGAAGCTCTTCTTCGGTCAATATAGTGTCGCTGTATTGTCCGTCGGCCGTCAGGTCATCGTCGGACGCGTATAACAAATCACCGCTAAATCAACAATAAGTGTTAAATCGGTCACAATATGAAGACATACCTGTCATCGATGTCCGGATC